GAAAAAATTAAAAAAAAAAAAAAAAAAAAAGATGAAAAAGATTGAGAATTGAGTGGACACACGTGGGACATAATTAGCCAGTTACAGTAGTTAGTTTCCGCTTGAGTTGGGAAAGGCTGCGTAATTATTTATTTGCCACAAATCACATACTTAAAAGAAAATCAAACAAACAAACACATAAAAGTAATCACTTTTTCTTTATCATCGCTTTTTGATTAATCCAAAAAATTGTTGGAAAAAATTATTCAACAGTTAGTAGTTTAATTTACCGAGAAAAAGACAATGAGAGATGAAGAAATTTGTCGATATTGAGCCCATGAAAATGAATCCCACGATTCATAAAAACAGCGTTAAGCACACAATTTACAAGAATGATAAGAAAAACAGCTTTTGCGAGTTATCTTTGTCTCTCTTCTTCTCATTTTGGTGTGTAGTTTTCTTGTTCTATACTAAATTTGGACTCACCCGCGGCAACGAAGGTACTCTCTGCTTTTCTTCTTGTTCATTTGCCTTAATTTCTTATGCCCATTTCTGTAATTTTGTTTTTTTGGCGTGCCCTTTTGAATTCCTGAATATTTGATAGTGGTTTGTTTACATTTGAAGTCCTCAATGTTTGGGCTTGTTTATTTGTTATTAGTTTGGTAATTTGTGTTTTTGTTTATGGGATTCTTGATGTTTTAAGGTTAGACAATTTGGGAAATCTACCGGGTTTTGGCTATTATCCTATTAATGGATTTGAGGTATTAAATTGAAGTTTCCTTTGGCAAATTGTTTATGGTAAGTTGAAAATTAAACTTAAAAATTGCCTCATTAAATAAACTAGAAAGCGATTGTGTGCTGAATAACTTGGTAATCTAGAATACATCTGTGTTAGTGTTAGTTGCCTAACATCTTAACTTGACAGTTTTATTATCTAGTTTAGCATGTTGATTGTTTTGTTTGCCAGGGAGTCTGAATGCCTATAACCGGAGTATTACTAACTCTAGTATCTGCAATGAGAAGTTATTATGCAATTGCGCTGTTCCTATTACAGAAATCGCAAATAACAATCAAACAAGTGGGGTTTTCATGGAGGTGAATGTGTCTGTGACCTTAAATGATTCCACTTCCTATGATAACTATCCAAATCTGGAATACTCAGTACGGGAATCAAGTGGATTAGAGGAAGTATTGTCACTTGTATTAGGTTATGAATCTTCTGTTTGTCAAGTACGACCGCAAGAAGATTATATGAAAACTGAAAAAGAACAGCGACAAAATGGGAGAATCCCATTAACTTATCCTAATCTAGACGAGTTCAAGTATATTTCAAGTCAAGAGAAAAGTGCGAGTACGCCAAGCCAGCTAGTAAATCTCACACACAGGCTCGAGTCGGATGGAACACCGTACAACTATGCCTCAGCTTCCAAGGGTGCAAAAGTGGTGGCTCATAACAAGGAAGCAAAGGGAGCGAGCAATGTATTGGGAAAGGATCATGATAAGTATCTCAGGAACCCGTGTTCCGTTGGGGGCAAGTTCTTTATAATTGAGCTTGCGGATGAAACTTTGGTTGATGCTGTCAAAATTGCGAATTTTGAGCATTATTCTTCTAATTTTAAAGATTTTGAGTTATCAGGGAGTTTGGTGTATCCAACTGAGACATGGAATTCCTTAGGGACATTTGTTGCTGGAAATGTCAAGCATGCTCAATGCTTTAAGCTGCCTGAACCAAAATGGGTTAGATATTTGAAGGTGGATTTACTGAGTCATTATGGGTCAGAATTTTACTGCACGTTAAGTGTTGTAGAGGTGTATGGAGTTGATGCAATTGAACATATGCTTGAGGATCTTATCACTACTTCCGGAGAGTCTTCTGCTGTCCGATCGCCAAAGCCTAATTCGACTGCCATGACAGTGATACTGCCAGAACCAGGCCCCAGCAAGCGTGAAGCAGACGATGTTGCTCATAACTTGAGTGATGCCGTCAATAAGGGAATAGAAAATGCTCCCGAGGGACAGAAGCCTAATGCAGATCCTAAGAAACCAACCACTAGCAGCATGCCGGATCCCTTAGTGAAGGGTAGGCAACAACCAAATGGCAGATTGCATGCAGATGCTGCTCTAAAGATATTGTTGCAGAGGGTCAGATCTCTCGAGTTGAACTTGTCAGTGCTCGAGGAGTACATCAAAGAACTCAACAAAAGGCAGGAGGATGTTCTTCCCGAACTTGACAAAGAGGTAGTGAAATTTACAGCTCTTCTGGAGAAAAGCAAATTGGAGATCAAGAATCTCTTGGAATGGAAAAAAATAGTGGTACGTATGACCTTTTATTTTGCTACAGCAGAATTTTCTGTAGGTTCTGTTTAACTCATTTGCGATAAATTTCTTTCTTTCAGGAGAAAAAAAATGCTGACCTTGAAACCTGGAAAGCTTTTGTCTCGTCCCGAATGGATCTTTTGGTCAGAGAAAATAGCATACTGAGGTTTGTATTATCATATATTGCTACCTAATCTAATTGGTTATTTTACTTAATTATCAGTTACGATTTAACTATTTCTACATTTCATTGAGCTCAAAGTAAGCATTTTTTTATTTACTGAGAGTCCTACATAATGTGTGGATAAAAAGTTTGACTAAATTATGAGCTTTTCCAATGGTTAATGAAATTAAATTAAGAAAAATCTACGGAGTCACTATTTTCATCCATCATTCTTAAATATCTATCCACTGTTAAAATTTTTTCTCTATTACATTTTTTAACCTTATGTAAATTTACTTAAATAGACAAGAATAAAACCAAATTAGATCTCTCTCTCTCTCTCTCTCTGAATACATCCACTAATGTTTATCCTCGTTAAATACTTTTGAACCTTCAAGATAATGATCGATTCTCACAATAGTTATGCACACACACACACACACACACACACACAAAGGAATTATTGATTAATTGAAATCCTACCTAACAAACTTCAAAAGGGAACTTTTCTGTCTCTAGAAACAGGGTTGTGTTGTGCTTCTTCTTTTCTCTTTCTTCTGATTTCTCTCTCCCTCTAAATATGCATATTGAAATGTGAGATGAGCACAGAGGGACACTTTCAAGTGAGAGGGAGGATTTTTATTCCATGGAAAAATTAAAATAGCCCTCCAAAAAATATTGTATGTATAGATATAACAAGAATTTATTTCGTAATTACCTTTCTTAATTTAATTAACAATGATACATTCTTGCCATGTTTGTGATTTGTTTAAGTTATAATGAATTTTAGCATTTTTTAATGATAAAACATTGTTAAACCTTGTGGATATACAGTGTTTAAATAAATGAATATAATAAGTGTAATATTGGAATGTAATGAGGATGGATATAGTACTTTTTTAAAATTTTAATAGGGAAAGATTTTAAGCAGGATAAATATATATAAATGGTGTGGATATATAGTGTTTAATGACTGAATTTAATTATGATAATGTTGGAATGTAATGTGGATGAATATAGTACTTTTTTAAAATTTTTAAATTTTAGCAGGGATAGATATATAAGTGGATGAAAATAGCGATTCCCAAAATCTATTGTGCAAACCCTTTCAACAAAAGTCAATGAGGTTAACATCTATACTTTATCAAGTGTATGTATAACCATCAAACTCACAGGCAAACTGTGCTTCAAATGGTAAATGGCTGTATGACGAACAGAAATTGGGTCCCACCTCATAGAGTGAGTGTAGAAAAATGAGTAGATTTTCATTA